TTGTATTGACCCACTAAATAGAATAAACTACTACATCACGCAAAACACGCCAACACTTTCCAAATTCAGTATAAAAGTAAGATCCATGCTATATTTATATCAGTAATTGGTTACAAAATGAGTGAACAGCAACACAAGAATAGAGAATGAATGAAGCAATTAATGTTTTCGAAATTCCAATAATTCAAGTGCTCACAATGAATTATCTACGTACACTGAAACACTCGAGCAACAAGATATTTCAAATTCAAAGTGCTTTAAGTGGCTGATAATTGACTAATCAAATAAATGATCATGGTATTAATACTGCCTTCAATAATGATCTTTCCAGTATATCAAAAGAAAAGAAAAAAGCAAAAAAACGACACGAAATTCAGATCCCTTGAGTAGATTAAAAACGTGTCATAACAAAAAAGTTCTGTGTAATGGAACCACATCGTTATGGTATTCAACAAATTAGTGAAAAGACATTTCTGTTTACGTGAAACAAATATGAATTATAGACGCACAGCAAATTATTCCTTTTCATAATCCATACTAGATAAAATTTTAATTTTGTGTGTAATGAACAAAACTACAACACGAAGAATAATTTTTCTAATTAATCCTAATTCTAAGTGCTAGAATGGGATTGCTTATCTTTCAAAATTTCTCTTATCTTTGAACTGTAACCAGTTTCATCATCAGCTACTTTTCGACCTGAAAATAATTCAGTAATGTACGCTGAAATTACGGTACATAAATTAAGTCACTCTATATTATTATACTAAGAATTTGATTTGCACCTTCTAAATACCTAACCAAAAATTCTCGCTTTCAGCCGGTTAAAAAATGTTTTTTCGCCGTCTTTTTCTGCCTTTCCGTCTTGACTTCTCTTTCTTCCATTATCCACTACTGTCGCCCCATCTTCAGGTTTAACCTTTCCTTTATCTGAAGAAAGAGAAGTCAACACGGAAAAGATTGCTTTTACAAGTTAGGGTTGTTTTTCCAGAACGACGGACAAGGAATAGCAATTCATTTTCGCATACCAAAACCGATAGTAAAGGGCTTAGTTTAGAAACAGATAAAGATGAAGACGATTACCTTCAACAGTATCTTTGATTCCCCGTATTGTACCCGGGGTATCAGTTTCTAACTCAGCCCAAGCCTGTATCAATGCTTTTTGCTTGTCCGTTATATACCTGAATGATTTAAAATAAAAAGAATTTCAGAAAAATGATTGAAATGGCAGTGGTTTCTAGAATATTATCTCATGTTCTAGTCCGGTACAAGCTTAGTAATTTCATATCCTGAAGCTAATTTATGAAATGCTTACTTTGGTACTTTTACTCTAATATTTATGAACTGATCCCCACGTCCAGCGTAATTCAATCTTTTTATTCCCTTCCCAGTTAGACGCATTCTCGTATGTGAACCCGTTCCTGGAGGTATTTGTATATAAGTGTCTTCTTCTATGCCTGGCACCTGAATAATTTTACTTTTGAGAGAAATCTTAAAAATTTTTGAAAAAAATCAAATGTAGTTGGCATTATTTTTCTATAAAACATTTTTAAAAATAATGCAAGCAAATGCTGAAATTGTATAATTTTGTTCTCCGTAATTGTCTTTGCAAGTACAAGTTATTTTGATTGTACAAGTGTACTGCATCTCATAACCTTATGTATACTCTGTACTGCGGGGTCAGTTATAGATAAATTTGGTTTTAATTGTCCATTTCCTCAATTCCTTTTGATTATTC